CAGCAGGAATTTGTCCCAGGAATATAAAATGGTTTGGCACAATGGGATGTATGGGTATCACAGCCTCGTTGATGGCCCTGATATCTTGTACCATCCTGGATGTCCCATCAGCCTTTTTCACAACTAGGATCGGGGTGTTGCATGGAGAGTTACAAGAACGCAACAATCCAGTTGCAAGGAATTTGGTGATTAAGGGCTGGAGGCCCCTCCAGGCCTTGGGCTTAGGAGGGTATTGAGATTTTCAAGGTAAAAAGGTAGGATCTTTTCATTGAATTCGTACAGGTTTTGCAAAAAGGGACCTCCCTGGGGTTATGTCCCAGACCTCCAGAGACTTGTTGGTAAATAGCAAAAGGTATCTCTTGTGGGCCCTGAGCCAGGGCTAACCAAGGACAGACACACTCTGGCAAGTGGAGGCTGGCCTAAAGCTTAGTCATAATAGTTCTCCCTAATAAGGGGGTGAGGCATTCAGGGAGAACAAGAAAGGCATGAGTAAAAGTAAATTTTTCAAGAGTACAAACTAACAGTGAGGTCAAACAGCCAGTTTGTGGATGGCCATCTATCCTGGTAAGGAGGATCCAGGACCGAAGTGTTGGTCCAGAAAAACTAATTAAGGTGGAGTAAGTGGCTCCAATATCAACTAGAAATTGGACGAACTTTCCTGCCTATCCAAGGTCTCCCAAGGCTCTGCCATTGAGATGGAAAGCATGGGAGCCTGCACGGCCTCTGGGCTCTGTCTGTCCCAGAAGAGTCATCTTCCCCCTCGCTGTTATCTGGCTCCTCATAATCAAGGAACAGAGTTGGGGGCATCTGTTGGTTTCTTACAGGTTTAGCCCCAGGAGCGCCCTGGGGCAGGGTGTCATCCTTGGCACAGGTTCTTGGCTCTGGGATGGCCCTCCTGCAAGAGGGAGAGAGGGACATCCCGCCTTCAGTGTCCCTTTTCCTTGCAGACAGGGCAGGGCCCCCAAGGAGCTCTAGAGTCTCCTCACAGATGTGCAGGCTGTTGGCAGTGGAAACAGATGGGGGCTTGTCCTGGAGGAGGCTCCCTCTGGGAAATGCTGGCTCTCGTTACCCGCCTCAGGTGGTGCTGGCAGGACACTAGCAGTGACGGCGGCCATGTATTTATCTTGCCGTTTGTCCTTTTCTTTTTCTTTTCTCTCCTGTTCAACCTTTGATTTCTCCTCCCTGTTGTTAAAGACCTTAAAGGCCATATCTAATAGGACAGGAAAGGGAGTTTGTGGGCCCTGTTCAAGCTTTTGAAGTTTTTGTCTAATGTCTGGGGAGGCCTGACTAATGAAATGAACTGCTGGTATCGCAAGGCCCTCTGCACTTTCAGGATCAAGATTAGCATATTTTCACACGGCCTCTGCCAGCCTGGAGTGGAAGAGGGCTGGATTTTTGTCAGGTGTCTGAGTAATCTCTCTCCGTTTGGTATAATTAATAGAGTTATTATGGCCTTTTTCATTCTTTCTAATAAACAAGTAGTCATATGATTACAATATGTTTTCCAGGGGGTCCCTTTCCTGATATGTCCAGTGGGGATCGGAGTCAGGGACTGATTCTTTTCCAGACCTAGATGTGTCTTCAGTGTCAGGATTTTGGATGGCTCGAGTGTGAACCTCGTCAGCCCAGCACTGAGCCAAGGACCAAATGCGAGCTTTTTCTTCCTGAGTACAAGTGGAGAAAATGACAAATATATCCTGCCAGGTCAAATCAAAGACTATAGTGAGAGCTTGAAATTCTTGTATAAAGCAAGAAGGGTCCTGGCTAAAAGAGCCCAACCTGGCTTGGAAAGGGACATGGACCTGAATGGTACCTGCCTCGCCATTAGCAACCTCACGAAGGGTCAGCACGTTATCTTGTTTTGAGACTTCTGAGATATTCATCTTAACTGGGGGTGTTGGTTCTGTCGTGTCTTAAATACCTGATCTAGTATGTGGTGGGGGAAGGGGGCTTGATACAGGAGGGGGAACGGAGAATGGGGATGGGCATTCAGTGGTCGCTGGACCCAGGGAGAGAGAGACTGGGGAAGGAGAGGAAGCTGTTGGAGGAGTCCCAGGGCTGGGCCGGTTGGAGGAGGAGACAATGAAGGACATAGAGGAGACTGGTTGTTGTTAGGAACCCGAGAAAGGAGGGGGTCATCTAGGATATCAAGTTGGTTGTTAGATATCAAAGAAGGTGGGTTTCCTAAAAATCAGGTGAGAGCAAGAAGAGGAAAGTTTGTATTGGGTCAGAGTGTAGGTCTCATGGGAAGGGCTTTCCAGTACTTTCCACTCGACCAGCCTTACCCTATTACGTGTCTGGGGCTGACCAGGAGACAGGGTCCTGGGTGTCTCAATGCACCAGATGACCAGTTCTTATGTGTGCTTTCCCCGACAAGACACAAAGTCCCTTTGACCCAGGCATGGGATATGTAGTAGCAAGGAGTAAAGGAGTAGAGGTATTTAGAAAAGACATTTCCTGTGTGCATTCATGGCTGAGGGCCAGGGGGTCAGTCCTGCCTGTCAGACCGAGTTTTAGAGCCCGCTGAGAGTCGCCCAGCCAAAGTTCCTCAATTCTCTCGGCAAGACTTAGGGCAAGTCCCAAACGCCAGGGAGCGGCAGAAAGGAAAGTGTGAGAGAGGAAAGGAAAGCAAAAAGGGAAAGGGAAGCCTGCCTTGGCGATCTGGCCTCCAGAATGGAGCTTCCAATCAAGCCAGAGGGAGACCCCCGTAAGGAGGGGAGAGAGGAGAAAGAAAGTCCCCATGCGGGCCGTCAAATGTTGGGGGACACGGCAGGCAGTTTCATGGGCAGTAAAAGAATTTACCAGAGACAAAAGACAGTTTAAGAAACAAAGGAAAAGTTTAATAGATACGCTGCTCTAGGCAACAGCAGGACACACAGACGAGAGGTGTGAGCGCCGAGGGTGAAGGTGCAGGGTCTTTTATTGGGTGGGAGGGGCTGTGAACACAAGGGGCAGGTGGGCTGCATGATCAGTTTGTGCACAGCTACCTGATTGGTTGTAAGACTTGTCAGGGGCTACTCTGAGGAAAGGACTTTACGGCTCTCCTAAGGGCAGATGCGCCGTGAGGCCTGTCTGCCTAGGGTGTTGTGAGACTGGCCATTTTCTGGGGGTGGTTAGTTTTGTTAAGATAAACACACGTCAAGGGAGATGTTTTCATCTTGCAGAAATGCAGGTATGTGGAGGGTCCTGAAGTGGGGGGTGGGGGTTAAGGGTGCCAGTGGGCCCCAGGCACATGGAGAGCCCAGGAGTGGGGGTTCTATGGACTTCGGAGTAGCTTTAGAGAACGCCAGCCAGCCGGCTCCACAAACTATACATCAATTTAAAAAAAAAAAAGAAGGAAGTTAGGAAGATTGAAAGAAAACTTTTCTCTTTTCTCCATGCACTCAGTCACCAAAGCTAGTCTGTTTTCTACCTTCAGTATTTCTAGAATGAATTTTCTTCTCTTTTCGAACTCTTCCCTTCTCAACCATAACCATCTCAGCAGCTTCTTTTTTGGGTTCTCTGTCCTCTATCTCTTTTACTTCTCATCAACATTCCACACAGAGTTTCCTTGGAATTAGCCAAATGCTTCCCTTGCTCAACAGCCTTTGAAGACTCCTGGGGTCTTAGGATAAAATCCAAGCCTGGTAAGTTGACTGGAGCCTAATTTATAGTCATCATTACACCCTCTTTCCAATAAACCTGCCACATATATGGGGAGTCTGGACTTTATTCTGAGGGCAAGAAGTTCTTGGGGATTTATAAGCCAGGAATTGACCCCGTTAGATTTGCATTTTCTAAAACTCCCCCTAGCTGATGTGTGGCGGTGAGAAGGTTGGAGGGAGGCCAGAGATCAGCAAGGAAAGTGTTCATTCACTCATTCATCAAATGTTTATTTACTACTGCTTGTTTACTGGGCACTGTACTGGGTGCTGGGAAAATAATAGGGGACAGGAAAGACAAGGTTCCTAATCTCATGGAGCTCTGATTCAAGTCTTGGGGTCACAGGAAGCTATAGGGAGACAGGTAATAAATAAGTTAACCAATACACAATTTCAGATGGTGAGAAGTCTCTAATGTGATCTAATGGTGGACAGATGATAGAGGCAGCTACCTTACACAGGGTGGTCAGGGAAGGCTTCACTGAGGAGGTGACTTCTGAGCCAAGGCTTGGGTGGGGAAAAGCTTGCTGTGTTCAAGTAAGATCATGTTTAGTTTTGTAAGAGATTGACATGCCCTTTTCCCACGGTGGATATACCATTTTACATTCCCATCAGGAATACATGAGAAACTGTTTCTCCATCTATTCACCAGCATTTGGTGTTACCAATCTTTTAAAATTTTAATTATCCTGGTAGTGTGCAAATAGGAAATTTGCATTTCCCTGATGGCTAGTAATGTTGACTATCATTTTTCGCACACTTATTTGCCATCCATGACATCACTGAAATCTCTATTGGTGTCCTTTCCACATTTTCAAATAGGATTGACTCAGAAGATTTTAAGACAGGATGAGACATGGTCTATGTTTTACAAAGATCACTCTAATTGCTTTGAGAATTAACTAAAGGGGCTAAAAGGCGACAAAAGGGGAGCAGGAGTCAGTGTGGAAGTTCAGGAGAGAGATGATGGGGACTGCAGTTGGGTATCAGCGCTGGAGATGAAGAAAAAGGGACCCATTCTGGAATATCCAGTCCTTTGGAGGTAAAGCTCACACGATAGGAGGACACGAAAGATCCAAGGACTTCCAGGCTCCTGGAGTGTACTTTACAGGGGGAGAAATGGATTTGGGAGAAGGCGAATCAAGGTTCTAGACTTAAGTTTGAGTTGCCAGTCACCGTTCAAGAGGAGGTATCAGGTCAGCTGTTGGAGGGAGGGGTCACAGATGAGAGCTTGACCTAGGGCAGTCAGTGGCCGAGAGAGGAATGGAGGGATTTGTGAGGCACTCGGGGGCGGGGGGGATTAGCAGGAATCGGTGACTGGTTGAGTATCAAAGGAGGGGTGGGGACCTGGAAGTTTGACTGACTACGCGGGGACCCAGACCCAGGCGCCCAGAAAAGTGAAGTGGACCCAGCAGCCCTGCCCCGAGGGACGCTCCACGAGGCGGAGGAACAGGGAGGCCCGACCACAGTTCGCTGTAATGTGAGCCAGGCTTCGGCGGAAGGGCTGCCAGGGACTGACCAAGAGGCCGGCTCCGGGGCTCGGGAGAGACCGCGAGAACCTCGCCTTCCTTAGGTTGAGGCCGGCGGGTGTCCTGAGGAAGTGTAATTTGAGCAGAGCTCCCAGGTCACGTGGGGACGCCAGAAAGCCTTTGATGAAAAAACTTGTTCATGGTTTGAAGGACAGGCGTTCTTCTCGAACAGCGCTACCCAGTGAAGAAGACGGGGAGGGGCGGGGCCTGAGACCGAGGCCAGACGTCGACTCGGAAATCTCCGGCCGAGGCTTGGCCATCTCTCCAACTCCGGCTTCAGCCTCGAGCCCAGGACCCATCCGGAAACAGCCGAGCGGATCCGGAAACGGCCGAGAGGACCCGGAAGCGGTGAGCGCCGTCACCAGGGAGTGCGGGAACCCGCCGTTCGCGCGGAGGCGATGGCGGCAGCTGCGCCGGCGGCCGCGGGCGAGGATGACCGGCGGAGGCAGCCGGGAGCCGGTACGTGACGGTGCGTCCATGCACGCGAGGGGCTGCGAAACCGGAGGCGGGGCCGAGCTCGGCACTGGTGGCTGGGGGATGGTGAGGGGAGTCTGGAAAAAGGGGCGGGACCAAGCCCCGGCAAAGAGCCGGAGGGGGCGTGGTCTTTCGATTCCAGGGGGTGGGCCAGTGGCAGGTTAGAGGTGGGGCCCTCTGAGGGAGGGGAGGGGCCTGGTGGATAAGGGGCGGGGCCACTGGAAGGGAGGGGGTCGTATCAGAGAAAAGAGGGGATTGGGTGAACCTAGGGAGAAAGAGGCGGGGCTCTAGGCAGCAGACAGCGTAGCTAGGTGAGGAGGAGGTGGGGAAGGGGCGGGGATAGATGAAGGTGCAAGGACCATGGCTGCAGTACTTAGTTGCAGGATTTGCAGATTTGGGAATATTGGGGATCCGAGAGTGATGAGCAAACAGGCTGATCTCTGTCCTCCACAGTGCTGGGTCCCCAGCCCCAGGATGGGGCAGAAGTTGAAGCTGAGTCAGGGGAGCTCGGCCGGCTTCGGGCTGAGCTGGCAGGCGCCCTGGCAGAAATGGAAACCATGAAGGCCGTGGCCGAGGTGAGCGAGAGCACGAAGGCTGAGGCTGTGGCTGCAGTGCAGCGGCAATGCCAAGAGGAGGTGGCCTCCCTGCAGGCCATCCTGAAAGGTGAGGCAAGCGCTCCTCCCAGGCTCCCTCGGCGCCCTAAGTGGGAGTGCATAACAAGGAAGGGGTCATGGCAGATAAGCTATGGGTAGGTTAGCAACGTTGCCTGGCACCGAGCAGGCCCAGGGGCTGAGAGGAAGAGGCGCCCTTTTCTGATTTACATAGAGGTGCTGCCTGTGCTAGCAGCAACTCTGTCAATTCCAGCTAAGTTTAGCTTGGAGCTTCTACCCATTCCCTGGCCCCCTGTCACTTCTTGTCCCTTACTGATGACTGATCAACCCTGAAAGTGAGCAACTTCTCAGTTCCTTGAGAGCTCATTTGAGCCTCTGGCCAGCATACTCAGCCCTTGGCCTAGTCTCTAAGTCTAATTGGTTTCCTTTCTTCCCCAGCACCCCTACATCGACACACACCCTCCCCACCCACATGCATAGATTTCCCTCCATCACATCCTCTGTACTGGGCTGCATCAGCACCCCTCGCCCCAGATCCCCCAGCTTCTTTTCCTATTTCTCCCTCCTCCTCTGGTCAGAGGCCAGAGCCTCTGAAATAGCTTCCAGTCCCATCCCACCCCTTCGCTTCCACTGCCTCTGCTGTAGCGAAGCTCTCGTCAAATCCCCTGGACTGTTGCCCCAGCCTTCTTACAAGGCTCCCTCTATAGTCTGACCTTGACATTGGCTTCCAGAGTGGACATCCTACAGTTCCCATCCCACCATGTCATTTCCCTTTCTAACAACCACTCTTGGCTCCAGACTTATCTGGGGTCATACTTCCCACATTTCAGGCATCCACGTAGCACCTGTGCGACATGGTTGTCTCCTTTTATGACTTATCCTGTTGTCTACTTAATATTTGTTCTTTGAATAGATCCACTTTTATAAAACGTATATACCTTTATTTTAAAGGAAATTTTCTGTCCCTACAAGAAACAGTATTCTAAATAACAATAATAATAATTTTAGTAACTAACATTTATTAAGCACTTACTATATGCCAGGCATTGAGCTAGATGCTTTATGAGTACTTAATCTTCATAGCAATCTCTCTAAGTAGGAACTATTATCTGTCTCTACTTTACAGAGGAAGCTCTGAAGCCCAGAGAGGTTAGATAACTTACCTAAGGTGATACAGCTAGAAAGTAGCAGAAGATTTAAATCTAGGCACTCTGGCAACAGAACCTTTACTTTTAATGTTAGTACATGCTAAAATTAATAACTATGCAAATGAAAACTGACCATGTTCCACCCACCACCACCTCTACCTCCCGCTGACCTGTAAGATAAATTCCAAACTCCTTGGCATGGCATTCAAAGCCTTGGCAGCCATGCACTGCCACCCTCTCCACCTCTCCCAGCATCTCCCTGTGCACCTTCACTCCAGATCTTCCAACATGCTCACTGCGCCCCAGCCACACCATCCACTTTCCCACCTCTGAAACTTTGCTCCTGTTACTTAATGTGTCCTTTCTCTCCTTCACCACTTGCTAGTGTCTCTCCTGGCCAGGGAGGCAGAGTGAGGGGCTCCTTCCTTTGGGATCCACAAGCCTAGGAAAGGTCCTCTCACAGCTCTTCCCCTGTTGCTTCGTAACTATTTCCCTGGCTGTCGTCCTCATTGGACTGTGGGCTCCTGGTGTCAGGGTTTGTATTTAGTCAATTTCTCTATTTCCAGAGCCCAGCTCAGAGTCTGGCCCAGAGTAAATATTTATGACTATTATTATATATATATATATATATATATATATATATTAGTTGAAGTATAATTTGTTTACAATGTTGTGTTAATTTCTGATGTACAGCATAGTGACTTAATTATACATATATATATTTCTTTTCATATTCTTTTTCATTATAGGCTATTACAAGGGGTATTGAAAGTAGCTCCCCGTGCTATACAGTAGGACTTTGCTATTCATCTATTTTATATATAATAGTTAGTAATTAGATATTGATTGTTATTGGTATGTATTAATAGAAACAGAGCTTATCTTTAGCATTTATTATCTACCAGGAAGAGGGCTGAACACCTTCCAGATGTCATGTCATTTGATCCTATATAACAAGCCAGTGGGATAATCATTAGCTGAAGACATTATGCAGAGAGGCTAACTGATGGCCCAGGACCACCTGCCATAAAGCCCCCTGTCTTCACTACTGTGGTGGATTGCCTGGCAGAGAGCCGCAGTGATGGCGAGCCCCCCCACCCACTCCCAGGTAGGGCCGGCGCACTGACCCTCCCTCTCCTCTGCCCTTCCTGCCCCGCCAGACTCCATCAGCAGCTATGAAGCCCAGATCAGTTCTCTGAAGCAGGAGCGGCAGCAGCAACAGCAAGACTGTGAGGAGAAGGAGCGGGAGCTGGGGCGCCTGAAGCAGCTGTTGTCCCGGGCCCACCCCCTAGACTCCTTGGAGAAGCAGATGGAAAAGGTTGGGGTTGGGATGGCCTGCCCTTCTCCTCTCCTCCCCACTCCACCCTGGGATTTGGAAAGATGTTGAGGCAGCCAAACGTGACCATGGGGCAGAGGGATTGTCGGTATCCCATCGCCACATCACTGGGAACAGGGCACCCAGCGATCATTCTAAATATAGCACACTCTAGCCCCGTGCTCAGCGTGGTCCTGGACCAGGTTTGCTTACCTCCACAATTGAGGAAAGTCATGTAGGGGGAGGGGAGCTAACATTTAAGGATACCTCTCATGCACTAGGCACTGTGAAAACTGCTTGACACACTCAGTCTCCCATCTTTCCCTTGAAAGAGAGGTCCATTAGATTCACTAAACAGGTGAGTAAGGTGAGGCTCAGAGAAGCTTAGTAATTCTCCCCAGGTTGTGCACATAAAAAGGAGCAGATCTGGGATTTAAAAATCTAGGCAGTCTGGTTCTAAAGTTTTGTTCTTAATCTCTATGGTATATCTCCTCCTTTATTCTTATTGTCATGAACAATCGTAAGCACATATTACCAGAGTCTTCATGTTTCAAAGCAAGTTCACATCATTCCCTCATTTGAGCCACACAGCAGCCCTGTGAGGTAGGTACTCACCTCATGTTACATGTGAGTAAACTGAGGCTCAGGGAGATGGAGTAAATCAATGAATAGAAAGACAAAGATCAAAACAGGAGCCCCAGAAGGGAAGGCTTCCAAGCCCCAGTTTCATACCAGAGGCTGCTGCTTGCATTTAGAGTGATCCTTGGGGAGCAGTTACATGGGGGTGGTGAAGGACAGGGTAAGTTAAAGCCGCCTGGTACAGCAGAAGGAGCCACAGGCCCAGAGGCAAGCAGTTCCAGCCCTGGCCCAATGCTTGCATCTAGCCATCACCCATCCATCACGTGGTCATCTGCAGAGCATATATTTTAGAGCTTCGGATGGGATCACAGGTGTTTTGTTTAGGCCATACGGGCTCACCCCACCTATTGCCACTGTTCACATAAGAGATTTGGAGGGTTAAACTGAGCTTGTCTGAGACAGGTTTTTGAGAGATTCAAGAGGTAGAAATGGCATGAATTGGAAGAGGTTGGGTGACTGGCAGATTTCTGCCTTGGATAGCTGGGTGGATAGCAGGGTCTTTTTTGCTGACCTAGTGCCTGTAAGAGGAGGAATGGCATCGTGAGTTGGGTCACATTTGGCTGTACTAGGATAGAGGAGCCTGTGCAATATCCAAGTGGAGCTATCCAGGGACTTTGGCTTTGCAAGTTCAACAGGCTCCCAAACCTGAAAAAGAGACTGAAAAGAAGTGGCCAGCAATATGATGGCGATGAAAGTGTGGGAGGACATATCAGTTAGGACAAAGTTTGAAAAGCCAAATCAACAGTAGCTTAAATAAGATAGAAGTTTGTTTTTCTTAGAGTCCAGAGGTAGACATTCCAGGACTGATGTGGCAGCTCAACAAGTCAGTAGGAACCCAGGCTCCTCCTATGTTGCTGTTTTGCCATAGGTACCTAACTGCCTTGTGGTCCAGGATGACTGCTTGAGTGCCAGCCATCATGTCTACAATTCAGCCAGCAAGAGGAGGAGGAGTAAAGAAAAGCACACCCTTGCCGTTTGAGGAGTTGTGCCTGGCACATCAACCTACATCTCATTAGCTGGAACTTAGTCATATGGCCTTGCTTAGTTACAGGGAAGCTGAGAAAGGTAGCTGGTTTTCTAGAATTTAGGCCACGAGCCCAGCTAAAAATGTGAGGCTCTAAGGTAAAAGAGAAAAGGACAAATGATGCTGGGGAAGAAAACTATGTCACTCTACAAGTGGGCAACAGGAAGATGGTTGTGACTTTGGCTGCCTACCATGTGACCTAGGCAAGCCATGTGAGCTCTCAGAGCCTCTGTGTTCTTCTCTCTAAAATGGGCGTGAATGGCGTCTTCTTGGGAGGATTAGACGAGCTGATATGCTTGGAGGGAAAGATCTGAACAGTTCTAAGGGTCCTGCAGTCAGGAGTGGGGACTGTCAAGGCCCGATCCCCCATCCTCAGGCCCACGAGGACTCGGAGAAGCTGCGGGAGATCGTGCTGCCTATGGAGCAAGAGATTGAGGAGCTGAAGGCGAAACTGTTGAAGGCAGAGGAGCTGATCCAGGAGATCCAGGTGAGGGGGCGACCAGGGGGCACCACGGGAAGAAGGGGTGCCACAGGACCCTGGCCCCCAAGACTCTTCTCTGTCCCCTCTCCGTAGAGACGTCCCCAGCATCCCCCTTCCCTGCACGGCTCCACAGAGTTGCTCCTGTCCCGGGACCCATCTCCTCCGCTGGAGCCTCTTGAGGAGCTGAGTGGAGATGGCACAGCGGCCGAGGCCTTCGCCCACAACTGTGACGACAGTGCCTCCATCTCCTCCTTCTCCCTGGGTGGTGGGGCTGGCAGCAGTGCCTCCCTGCCCCGTAGCCGCCAGGGCCTGAGCCCTGAGCAGGAAGAGACCGCCTCTCTGGTGTCCACGGGCACCCTGGTCCCTGAGGGCATCTACCTGCCCCCTCCTGGTTACCAGCTTGTTCCAGACAACCAGTGGGAGCAGCTGCAGATGGAGGTGAGTGGAGCATGGGGAGCAGCCTACCAACTTGCATGCATCCGTCTCTCTCTCACCAAGCACTTACTGAGCACCCAGTGTGTCCAGGCCCTGAGCTAGAGCTGGGGTTTGACAGTGAAGATGAAAACCCCCACTCTTTTGGAGCTTCCTCCGAGTGAGGGGACCAGGGCCAGACATGCACAGGGGCACATGAGGAAGATGGGGTCACAGAGTGAGATGCCCAGAACAAGACTCAGTAGGGTCACGGGGTGGAGACTGGCCCTGCAGGAGACTAAGGCTTAGATGGTGAAAAAAGAGGTGTTCCTCGAAGATTGGGGACCAAAGGAACTGAATTTCCAGGGCCCAGAGGATGAACAGACCATGGTGCATCTGGGGAGCAGCAAGGCCACCAAGGAGAAGAGAGATGAGATCAGAAAGGCAGGCAGGGACCGCAGGAGGTCGGCCTCGGGGACTGTGGGAAGCCTCCGTGGAGTTTAAGGCAGGGCGAGGCCTGCTCTGCTTTAGGCTTTTAACAGATCACGTGGGCTTCTGTGTAGGAATGGACTGTCATCGTAGGAGGGGGCAACGAGGGAAGCAGGATGACCGGTTGGGAGAGAGATGCTCTACAGCATTTAGAGGAAGGTGGACCAGGAGCTGGCAGCAGAGATGGAGAGGAGTGAGTGGGTTTGAAATCCACTTTGGAGGCTGACGGGGCAGGGCTTGCTGGTGTGTTGGACCTGGGGAACAGCGGAAGAGAGAAGAGTCAGCATCAGTTCCTGGGCTTTTGGCTTGAGCGACTGAGCGGATGACGACGTTGCCCACCGAGGTGCGGGAGGCCAGGCATGAGAGGCCTGGTGACGAGGGAGGCCTCCCCTTGGAGGCTGAGGCTGAGGCCGGGGTCTGTGGCAGGGGCGGCAGCTTCAGAAGGACCTGGAAAGCATCACCCGGGAGCGGGATGAGCTGCAGGAGGGCCTGAGACGGAGCAACGAGGACTGCGCCAAGCAGGTGGGCTCAGCCTCTGCTCCAGTCCCGTGCAGCCTCTGCTGCCTGCCTCCTCCTGGGCCCTGGCCTCACCCTTGCCCCCGCTTCCACCAACAGATGCAGGTGCTCCTGGCCCAGGTCCAGAACTCAGAGCAGCTGCTGCGGACCCTGCAGGGGACTGTGAGCCAGGCCCAGGAGCGGGTTCAGCTGCAGATGGTGAGGGCTGGGGGCCAGGGCAGGCGGGAGAGGAGTGGGCCAGCAGTTGGTTGAGGGGGACACGTGGAAGGTTGAGACACCTGTCCTGTGCCCTGCCCTCCTCCCCTCCAGCCACTCTGACTTTGCCCCGGAGTTGGTGCCAGGTGGGTAAAAGGGTTTCAAGGGCACCCGGCCCTGCCTTCAGGCAGAGCCCACCGTGCTCTGTGATCTTGAGCTAATCCACAAGCTCAGAGCCTCAGCCTTGCCGCCTTGAAATTGAGATAATGGGACTTCGCTTGCAGAGTTGTGAGGATTAAAAGCAGGGATTGCAGAATCAGATACTTCCCAAAACCAGACTGGAGAGGCAGATGATTGAATTGGATCAGCTGTGAGGCAGGAGGGAATAGCAGGGCAAACCGAGGGACCCTATAAAGGGGGCTCATGCCCCTCGACTCCACTCGTTGGAGAGGGTAGGAGTGCAGGCTTGGTGCTGCCGAGTTTTCTCATTTGTCAAGAGAAGCCAGAGATCTGGATATTTATGTGCAGTCTCCCAGTTTTTAAAATTGGCAGTAATTTAAGGTTTAAAAACATCTGTATGGGGAGGAGGGTAATAGCTCAGTGGTAGAGCGCCTGCTTAGCATGAGTTCAATCCCCAGTACCTCCATCAAAAAAATTAAAACATTTAAAAAATTAAAAGCATCCGTATAGACCAAATAAAACACCCGATGTGGCCTGTGCTGGCCACTTTGTGACCTCTGAGTCATCAAGGAGGGTGTAGAAAGAGCTTGGGAGCCACAGACACTTACTAAAGGGTGTTTCTTCCTTTCATGGCTGAGAAGGAGGGTGTGGGCTTCCTGGCTCTCCTTCCAGTGTCTGGGAAGAGTGCTCAGGGTTTGGCCTCACAGGAGACTGGAGATCCCTGTCCCCTCATCACCTCATACTAACTGTCTGTCCCCAGGCAGAGCTGGCCACCTCCCACAAGTGCCTGAGCCACGAGGTAAAGCGGTTGACTGAGGAAAACCAAGGGCTTCGGGCTGAGCAGCCACCGTCTTCAGTCCCCCTGGAGCAGGATGAGGGCCAGGAGGAGCCGCTGCCCAGCTCGCTGCCGGTAAGCCTGTTGCAGGCCCTTTCTCTCCACGTGCAGCAAAGCATTGGCCCTAGCCTGTGGGACTCGGGGACAGACCCAGGCTGCTGTGTACTAGCTATGTCACTGTGGCCAACTCACTTGACTTTTCTACGGCTCAATTTCCTCCTCTGCAAAATGGGACCATATCCCCTTTCCAGCACTGGCATGGACAGAAAGTAAGTTAACAGAACGCTTGACACCAAGGAAGCAGTAATTTGGTTTGTTATTTTTAAGTGACATGAGGTCCACAAAATTGAATTCATTGTAATCTTTGGTTCATAGCAAGCTTTCATCATTCGATCTGTGCATGGCCTTTGTTGATGGAATTATTAAAAATATGATGATCACCCAGAACCCTCACCCACCCTGAGAACTACAATTTACATATCTCCTTACATGTGCCCCCACCCACCCAGTGTTCCTTGGCTCTGTCTCTGCTTCCTGAGCTTTATCATTCCTTTGCCACTCTTAGGTATTGTTTTTTACTACATATACCTGACTGCCTAAATCGTGGAGTACTTTATAAAAGCTCAGAATCTTGCTCTGGATAATCTCCTGGAACTTTAAATCAGCACCACTCCTGAGGGTCCTCCACCCGAGGAGTTGTGCTGCAGTAAAATATTCCTTGCTGTCCAGTGTGTTTGTCTAGTCTCCCCGTGGTGGGCATTCAGGTTGTTTCCCCTTTAACATTTTCATCCTTCCTCCATTCGTTTCCCCTCCCCACAGTCTCCATCTAGCCGCTTGGTTCCTGGGGCATCTGCTCCCTGCCCAGCCTATGACTTGCATCCTTCTAGGAGCTGCAGCAGCTGGTACGCCGCACGCGGCAGGAGGCGCGGGCCCATCAGCAGGCCCGGGAGCACGAGGCTGAGCGCCTGCGGATTGAGATTGTGACGCTGCGGGAGGCGCTGGAGGAGGAGACAGCAGCGAGGGCCAGCCTGAAGGGGCAGCTGAGGGTGCAGCGTGAGGAGACAGGTGAGGGAGGGGGAGGGGGGCCACCCCACCCCCGAGGTGCTGGGAAGGGAGAGGGGGCACAGTCCCAGAACGAGCCTTGACCTCTTTCCTTTCTTTTCCTTTCCTTTCTGCACAGAGGTGTTAGAGGGTGAGTATGGGCTGGAGCCTGTCCCCAGCCGGGCGGGGCGGAGAAGGAGAGAGGGTGTGGGCCTGACATTTTGGCCCTGCCTGACTTCCCAGCCTCCCTGTGCAGCCTGAGGATGGAGATGGAGCGGGTCCAGCAGGAGCAGAGCAAGGTGAGGCTGGCCCGGGCCAGGCCGGGATGATGGGGGAGGGGTGGCAGCGGGAAGAAGACCCTCACCGGCCCCTGCTGCCCTTTATGTCTCCCTCAGTCCAGGCGGCAGGAAGTCCTAAGGCAGCCATCAGGCTCAGGCCGCACAGAAGAGGTCAGGGTCAGGAGTGGTGTCCAAGGGGTTACCCTATCCAGACATCCTGTTTCTTCGGCTCAAAACCCCAGCTCTGTGTCCTATCCTCCCAGGCCCAGCTCACAGACCTCCTCTCGGAACAGAGGGCAAAAGTGCTGCGGCTGCAGGCTGAGTTGGAGACCAGTGAGCAGGTGCAGAGAGATTTCGTACGACTGTCCCAGGCCCTGCAGGTACGGCACATCCCCTCCCCACTGGGCGAGCACAACTCCAGGTGACTTCTCCCAGGTCTTGCAAGGACAGTCCCCCAGTTAGGGGAGCTCTCTTCCTCTTCCTAGAGCTGGCATGGTCCTGTCCTCTGAGCTATTGCTCAAAAAAAGCTGAAGATCTCGTGTGTCCATCTTGGTTGGTCACACGAAGCCCTCAGCCCAGGGCCCAGCATGTGGACGTGCCGCGTGATCATCACGTCAGCTCCACCTGCCCCTGCCCACCCTTCCTCAGGCTGCTCTCTCAGGACCCCTTTCTTCTCTTGAATCCAGTTTCTCTGTGGGTTGGGGGAGGTGGGGCCCTAGGTACACTGGTTCTGGGCCCTTGTCGCTCAAGGGGCTGGTAGGTGGGCTGGCAGCTGCATTTTCCCACTAAGGGTCCTCTGCCTGCCTTGCTGGCCCTATAGGTGCGCCTGGAACGGATCCGGCAGGCAGAGAGTTTGGAGCAAGTGCGTAGCATCATGGACGAGGCACCCCTCAGGGACATCAGGGACATCAAGGACACCTGAGGGGCTGGCACCCACCCACCCTGGAGGAGACTGCCCTTCTCCACTCCTGAACCATGAGGCTGAGGCTCTGGGGGTCTCAGGATGGAGACGTCTCTTTACCGTCTCCGAGCCTGAGAGGGTCCCTGTCCATCACCTCCTCCTAGGGGTGGCTGGGCCTTCTGTGTCCAAGGATGACACCTGGATGAGGGTCCCAACGCCCTCTGGGAACCAAAGGGTTAGGCTCAGCCCTGCGGCTTTCTGGCTGCCATGCTGCCTCCTGAGTCCCAGCCAGACTGACAGCCACACCTCCCCTCCCTGAGGTACAGCCAAGCTGTGAGTGGTGGCTGGGAGCCTTCGGCCGTGTCCCTCCATATATGCTCCCTGGGACAGGCAGCTGCTTTCCAGACTGCGTGACACTAAGATACTTGCTCCGAGGGGTCCCACGCAGGCCCAAGATGGGCACGGAGACAAGGCCAGAGTTTTCTGTCATTTATTTTCAATAAATAAGCAGCTCAGCTCAATCGGTCGCCTTGTCCCTGCAAGCCCCACGGGACTGGGGAGGGGAGGTTTTACCAGGGCAGAAGTGGGGGTGGGTTGCTGAGGGGGGAGGAAAAGTGAAGGGGACATTGTGTTTATAAACAGAAGAGGAGGGCGGGGAGTAGGGAACGTGGAGATCTGTGCCACAGCTCTGGCTGAAGATGCATCGCTATCAGGGTTGGGGGAGGACAAAAGGACTGGTTACTTCCTTCTTTCATCTTCTGGATCTGGAAGGAGAAAGGGAAGGATGAGGCCGGGGGCGGGGCAGGAGAGGAAAAGTCCTTCTCAGCTCCCTGTCCCCCGTCACACTCACCTGGAGGGTACCCCCAGCCACCCTCCACTCACCTGTGTCCCCAGACCCCACTCCTCCCACCACTGCAGCCCCAGCAGCAGACAGCTCAGCGCGCAGCCAGCGCCACGCAGCGCAGCCCAGCAGACACGGTGGGGCCTGGGGGCAGGCAGTGCTGGCCCCACAGAGGAGGGGCAGCAGCCTGCCCCCACTTGGAAGCGCGGCAGTGGCAGCAGCAGTGGCTCCAGGTGGAGCTTCGAGGGCAGGTGACCTCAGGTGCCACCTGAGGGGGAGAGGGGCAGGCAGGGCGCAGCAGCTGCGGCGAGGGCAAGAAGGGGGGTGATACCTGTGACACAGTTCAAAGAGATGGAGGAGGGGGGAAACGGGGTTATCCTATGGGCCAGGAGAGGGACAGAGAGACAGCCGTTACCGAGGGAGGGAGG